TATTAGTTAACTATCTGTATCTTAGATTAGCATTACCTTCCACGGTCTTCACCTCATCTGACTTTGAGCAGTCCTGTATGGAGGACAATTCAAAAGGTTGGGATTACAATTTAGACATAACACAGTATCCTCACACTGCCAGGTGTTAATATTTAAACCTTCTCTCACCACCCCAATCAGTCCCGGGTCAGTTTCAGTCTGTTTCACCGTCACCTGGATCACTGAACTGGGACGCTTCCGAGCCAACGTAGTCATGGCAACACTGTCGGGGACTGTGCTGCTCTTCCTAACGGCCAAAGACATGAGATGAAAACAGACACAGTTAAGTAAGAATGTGAATAATGTAGCACATTTTTTAAATACAGTGATGTAGAGGTTAGAGATACAGATGAATAAAGAACACACAAATATACCGCTTTATACATGTAAATGAATTAAAACTCAATTTTAGTCCCAATGCAGTTAAAGGAAAACTCTAAAAACTGATGTAAAGACATTTTTTTGTTTATTTTTTAAAGCTGTTTACAGACTAACCCTAATGGTAAACACATAATCACCTGCTTATTTACTGCGGTTGTATGAGCTGGGTCACCAAGAGGTGGAGCAGGATCCAAAAGAGCAGAGACATGAGAAACGGCAACACTTTGAAGTGCTATATTTGTGATAAGCAATACTTTAAAATTAGAGAAAAGGAACCTTTGAAGAGCGTCTCAGGATTTCCGCTACAGAGAGGCCTAAGAGGTCTAAATTGAGTTCTAATAGAAATATATTACCCTCAAAAAGTCCCTTCTCGGCGGTCAGGGCTTTCTGAAAGTTCAAAAACTTGAGCTTGTGGAGCTCAAAGTGCCAAACAGTTCTAAAGGTCATACGTACAATTGCTAGAAAAAAATATGCTTGATTATTTTAGAGGAGGTGTTTCAAACATTTTGTGCCCAAAGTCTGCCAAAGGGCAAATCAAAATTTCAGCATGCATCGTATCTGCCTTAAACAGTATCTCTATCATCTAAATTCTTCTGTCTCTTTTGGACTGTACTGTACGACTAAGGAAATCCTGGAAGCCCATTTGAAGCATCTAGACTTAGCATAAAACCCCTTTGCAAGAGTGTTGCCTTTAAGTTTCTTTTGCTTTGCAATAAGCTCGACAAGCGTATGTCTTTCACACAATCAAGTATCCTTTGCTGCCCCCAATTCAGGTCCAGAGTTGTTTTGATCTTTCTCTAAGAAGGGATGTTTTTCTGCCTCACAGCAGACCGTTTGGGAACTGCTTTAAAGTGTACTGCAGAAATGGCTGATTGCATTTTTAAACACAACATCACACTTTGCCCTCTCATTCCCAGTTCAACAAACCAGACAGAGAGCGAGACAGAGAGGCTGGAGAGTGGTAGTCGAGTGAAGTAAAAGGTGAATGAATAGAGGGAGTAGCATTAATGGAAAATCAGAAGTAAAGCAGAAGTAAAATCTGATTCTTTTTTTATACCGGGTATGTTCTGAAATACAAATAAATATGCTCACACCTCCACTCAACTCTGCAGGAAGGTGCCACATTGACAGATTTTTTTCTGAATACAACTGAAGAGTGTGTGTGTGTGTGTGCATGCTGCTTGTCAAACAAACAGCCAAAATGTAACTTGGTCACTACGATTTTATGTAAAGTTTCACATGTAAAAGCCATAAAACAGCAATTGATACATCAGCGGACAGAGAAAAAATTAACAGTCTGAAGAAATCCTGCAAGTTCCTTGGGAGGGAAATTTCGAGGAACAAGTACCTACTAAAACGTTGCGAGATATCAACTGATTTGGAATCTATAGTTGACATAAGTTAGCAGAGACAGAGATAGTCTATGGAACTCATTACATCAGTGCACCATTTTTAAAGGTGTATTTTAAATTCTATTTTAAATTCTAAAACACACTGACTCTTACAGATGAAAAAGTAGAAAGAAATACTTTCGTTTGTGTTTCCTTTTTCATCTCAACTCAATTAAATGTAACACATTCACACAGAGAACAAGATTTTTTTTGTCTCTGTGCAGATCAAGTGTCTCAGTGAAGGGGCTGACTGAAGATCGCTGACCTCTCCTCATTAGCTCGCTCACTCACCGAAACTGTACTTTGAGTCTTTGAAATGAAGTAGAGAGAGTACATCCCACTTTGAGACACTTGATCATGAAAGTAATCCCATCTCAGACAGAGGGAGAAAAGCACAGAGACACATAAAGAGAAAGAAAGGCGGGACTAAAATGGAGAGTGATGCTTGGCTATGTTTAGTAATAGTGGTATTATTTTAAAATTGGGTCTCAGGCCTAAATGTATAATTTCATGTTAATAATTAAGCTGTGTCATTAGGGATTTATACCTCTGGCCTAGATTTTGTATTGGTTATCCGAGTAGGGGAGCAGCTCAAGGCAAAAGGAAAATTATTTCTTGGTAGTTATATATTTGCAGCTATTTCATATTTATCCCACTCACTGTGTTTTTGGTTTTTACCTGATGCTGGGGGGCAGGCAAGAATCTGAGGCATTACTTTTCTTCTCCTGAGCTTTGCTGAGGTCAGAAAGGCTGCTGCGGACCACTGCCTCGCCCTCGTTGAACATCAAGTGCAGCCGATAGTTGGCGAGCTTGATAAGGACGAAGAAAACAGTGATGGAGGAGCAGTAGATGCTCAGAGCCATTGTAGTAGGAGGCAAAGCCTGTGGAGAAGAAAGGAAGAGCTTAGTCATATTGAAATCAGCATTTCCTGAATCTCCTGACTCCACCAGGACAGAGTTTGATTCAATGCTTCAAGCTTTAGCACCACCAATTTTTTTTGATTTATATTGCAACACAGCCTCAGCACACTGCAAGATCTGATTTTGATATATTGGTAGATTAATAAAGTTTACTAGTCCACAGGGGAGAAATTGCCCGTATCAAAGAACAGGAATATCAAAGGCAAAGTATCATGTCAATCATGAGTCATAATGTCCCAGAGAGAGTTCTTGCTGTTTTGAATGTTTGCTATTGTCCCTCAACTTCCTTCCATCATTTATCCTGCGCTGAATACGACCTTCACAAAAAACGCTAAAAAACTTGAAATTTGAAACACCTTCCCTCGGAAAGCTTGTGTTGTTTCTGCAAGGGAAGCAGTGGATGTTTTCACACAGTCTAGAAACTGTCAGCAACAACAATTTAATATAGAATCAGTGCCAAAGTGCTTACCGTCTGAGGTGTCAGTCACACATCACCATCTGCCTTAATAGCTAAAATATGTGACTGGCTAATTTTGGGATCACCAAAACAGATATAATCAGCAATATCTTATCTTTGATAAACTGCTTACAAAAATGTACTCTGTGTACAATAAGCTGCCATTGCACTGTTTGCACAATCAAGTCACATTACCCTTTCAGTATTTGTACTGTTTTGCCATAATGTCTCCTATTAATTGCCTATTCACAAAGCAGGTGGAGTCAGCATCATTACAGCTAAGGTTAATGTGTTTGACCTATAGGTAAGCTGTATGGCAGGAACACAGAGGTCACTGAAGATGTCCCTTCAAAGAAGAAGGGGTCAAATTTGATTGTATTGTATTGTATTGTATTGTATTGTAGTGGAGGTTGGGCAGTAAAAGTCGAGACTATATATAGCTAGGCTTTCTGCCTCTATCAATCACCATATAGCATGAAGCATCATCAGCCCGTGTATTGTCACTGGGAGTAATGCAGCCAGTGTCGCACCTTTATCAAAGCCCATGGCATGAAAATATTAGTGAACCACATTTCACGCTTTCTGGCTCCACCACTGTCACATCCAGGAGCAGCCATGCTTTCACTTACTGCATGCGGGAGAAAAATACTGCGACAGTGCCCTTTTTCTGGCCTTGTGTTTCCATCAGCTGCTACATTGCGTGATATTCCATTCTCCTACAGCTTGTGGATGTTGTTTTTTTCTCCCAAGGATAAACAGGGGCATTATTACAATTTTACCTAGGTAGTGTGGGCACCTTACACCCCACGCACGGCCTTGAATGTCACGTTCCTCAATAAAAACTCACCAGATGGAGAGACAAGGGCAACATCAGGAGAAATATCCACAGATAGAGGTGACATGAGTTGTTGAATTTATTCTGGTCCGGGTCGTGGTACCAGCCCCCGGTCAGGGATGCCCAGACCCCCTGACGGAGGGTTTGCACAACCTGTGAGCCCATCTCCCCTCCTCTCCCCTCCTCTCCGCTCAGGTTGGACTGGCTGATGGTGATGATGATGATGCTGGTGCTGCTAGGCTACAATGAAATGATCTCCTCTATCTAATCATGCATGCTACTGTCGCTACGCCTCCATGTTGGCGCGACGCAGCTTGAGTCTTGAGTCTTTCCTTTCATGGCTCGGTCTTCCTCAGCGTTGTCCTGTCGTTTGCCGTTTCCCATCCCAGTGTCGATGCGTGCATTGCTGCTGCTGTTGCTGCTGCCGCGGTCCTCATCATCCTGTCCTGTTCGTCTCTATCCTTCCTCTCTCTCCTCTCAGGCTTGCCTGTACAGATGCGCAGCTCTGACCACCCCTCCCTTCTGTCTTTTTCACTCCTCCTCTCTCCATATCCATCCATGTCCATTATGCGAGTTCCACCTTCAGTCAAACACTTTGCGACATGCAATCAAGCCACGTTGTGCATTACATACAATGTATTTGTATCCTATGTACAGACCATGAATTGCGCACAGTATTTAAAGGTTTTAGAGCTTACGTTTAAAAATAATGTATAGCGGTGCAAACATGCAAAACATATTATATTATATTATATTATATTATATTATATTATATTATATGTGCATGTGTGTTTTTGTAGTCCACTATCGTTATAATTTCCCTGAAGGCGCGCTCTCTTCATGCATTCCTACAGTGACTCCTCCCCCTCCCCCCTGCTGCTGCTGCTTTGGTCACGTGTCAGGTGTCCACCAATGAGAGCGCAGTGCAGCCTGCAACGGGAGCACCAGCCGTGTCCCCCGGTCTTCTGTCCAGCCACTGCTGGGTCTGACTCCGTCAGGCGAGAACGTTAGCGGGGTCTTGTTTTGATTAAAGTTGACGGATCTTTTTCAATTTCATATTTTATACCCTGTATTGTTGTGTGAAAGTACAGGATATATACTGTGGTTCCCGAGTACTTATCCGTTGGCTTTTTTTCCCCGCACATCACCGAAAGAGAAATAAACTTTGGAATTAACCGATCTCAAAGTGGAGAGGAGCAACTTTTCCAACAGGCTGACCTATGCTAAGCTAACCAGCTAAGCCAGAAGTCTGGAATGCAGTTGAAATTCCAGTTAAAAGTCCACAAAGGAGCGCACGAACCGTCTGTTTCGCTATTCGGTGACTATATGAGATTTACTAGAGACTCTCACAGTGAAAGCTACTCCGCGGAGCCTCTCCGTATTTGGTCGGAATGGACGCTGCAGGTGCACCTCTTGAGGCACCTGCGAAAACTTGGTAACTTGAGAGCTAACTTTAGCCTTTTCACGTTAGCATTCAGCAGAACCGGACAGTGTTTTGTGATAGCTTTAAATTAATTTGGCTTGGCAGTTAATTGTTATTTTTTCGCTTTACTGGCATTAACCAGGAGCGTTAAAAAGCGTCGTTAGCTAACCCGTATTTCGGCTAACTTAGCCAGCAACCTCGCTAGCTAGTTATTGACCCTCACACTTGTACCGGAGTGGCGACGTGGATACAGACGCGCTCTCCCACGGGACTTTGGACACAGTTTGACCACGGCGTGGACTGCACAAGGATACCCCCTCCTCTGTTTTCATCGGATAGTGTCCTATATGTGACAGCATGAGGATTTCAAAAAGTTACAAGTTACCTTTTTAAAGTTTTCATTTTGTCCAAAAAGCGCTGCACCCTATGGTGCCGCTACGGCCACCGAGAAATGGATGTCTCGCAGGCCGCTTTCCCAAACGGTGAAGGGCGGCCGGGCGGCGGTGGGACCGGGGAACATGCCTGGGCAGAGTCCCCCTCAGTTCGGGCTTGGGCTCACTCTGCCCCGCTGTGCCCAACTCGATCCCTGTGGACAGCTGCTTATGACTACGAGGCGAGCGGCGAGGACGAACTCAGCCTCAGGCGAGGTGATGTAGTAGAGGTCCTGTCCAAGGACGCTGCAATCTCCGGGGACGAGGGATGGTGGACGGGGAAAATCAACCACAGGGTAGGGATTTTCCCTTCCAATTATGTCACCTATCAGCCCGCTATATACCGTCTCCCAGCTACAAGTGTGTCGACGGGGGTCCCAGAGCGAGTCCCGAGCTCGCCCGTCCAGATCCCTTTTAGTGAACTGGTATTAGAGGAGATCATAGGCGTGGGTGGATTTGGTAAGGTTTACCGGGGCACATGGAAAGATCAGGAGGTCGCTGTGAAGGCGGCTCGGCAGGACCCAGATGAAGACATAACGGCAACCGCCGCCAGTGTTAAACAAGAAGCTAAACTTTTCTCGATGCTGCAGCACCCCAATATTATTAAACTGGAAGGGGTGTGTTTGGAGGAGCCCAACCTGTGCCTGGTCATGGAGTATGCCCGAGGCGGGACACTGAACCGGGCGCTGACCGGAAGGCGGATCCCTCCACACATCCTTGTCAACTGGGCTGTGCAGATTGCACGCGGGATGCACTATCTACACGAGGAGGCCGTGGTACCCATTATCCATCGTGACCTGAAGTCTAGCAACAGTAAGCAAAGATCGATGTGTGTGTGTGTTTGTGATTAAGACAGATAAATTGAGGTAACATAACTTGCAGAAGGATATTTTGCACTTCATCTTTTGGTCATTTATGTTATGTTAGTTATGCTTTGGTTTCATTCTGCTCTGTCACTCTTTAGGTGTTAACTAACTCTTTTAAATCACTTGTTTCATGTTTCCATCATCCCAGAATATGTGTCAGCGCTGTTTTGCAACTCCACATGTACCAACCTGTCACACAAATAATGATAGTTTGCCATTTCCTTAGTCACATGACACATTTGGAAAGGTTCACTGTATGTTTGTTAGTTATTTGGAAGCGCAGCATTGTGACTGCAATATGAGGTTGCCTATTTCTCACGTTTCACCACAGCTGCCATAGTACTGCTCTGCACTCATGAGGTCTTCCAGTTTAAGAAGTTTGTGGTTTATGAAGTGGTGGGGGATGCTCTTAAGAGGATGTGAAATGAAGTCAGTTTGCTCAGCTGGGCTGCTCCCTCTTCACTCATTCCTTATCCTTTGACTAACACACACACACACACACACACACTTGCTTTCCAGACCCCTCTCCACCAGCAGGTGAAATGCTGTTCAAATAAATTCGGTGATTTAACAAACATATTAGGTAGACACAATCTGTCAACACTATCGGGCCATGTCCTTCATCACCACCTGGCAGTAGCAAAGTTCATAGGTGGAAAAAGAAATCATATGGAAGTTTGGTTTAGGCTTTTTAAGAAATATAACCTTTACGTAATCGATTTTCAACAGAACTACAACTGCTATAAACATTTGGTTTAGGAACAAAAATTATTGAGTAGGTCTCGCTTTTGAGCCTTTATAAAATAACAGTTCATTTAGCTGCACTTGGTACAGTGTATTGGGCCAACTATGCCGGTTCCACCATGGACTGGTAATTGACAACAGGCCAGAGAACTTTCCCAGGACTGAATAATGAATGGACAGGTCTTGATGAGAAAAAGGTTCTGACTCGCATACCCACTGACACAGGCTGTTCACTTCAACTCAGGTGTGTTTATGTGTGTAATTTGACTCCAAACACTTTTTCTCCCTTTTGTGACCGGAGACGCTTATCAACCCTGGGCCATGTGGGGAACAGCTCCAGTGCACTGATCTCTTATCTCCAGCTCTGGGAGCCAGTGTGTGAACACAGGGACGAAACCTGTGAAATGTATACATACCAGACCCTCCGTAATCATAGGTCAGGACGTGTGTTTGGATTTTAAAAAGAACTTTGATGCACAAAGTCCCATGTATGCAGATCCCATGTATATGTTGTTATTGCTTCTGCTGGTGTAAGTATATCAATTCCAAATTTTTTCAGTTATTGGTATTAATAATTTTTAACAGCTTTATGATAAACTACTTAATATAAAATGTGCTGATTTGGGTCTCTCTGTGGTTCGAAGTTAGCAGATACCACTAAAGTTGTGATAAACGTCACACTCCTCTCCGCTGATGTGACAACCACACAATCTTGTGATCTACTTCATTAGTCACAGGCATGGAGAGTCTCCTAGTCACAGAAATGCTTGAGCAATGTGGTATGTTGCGGTGGCATGCTGTAAAGGCTAAGACT